AATTTCTATTCTTTTTATTTTCTTTTCTTGTTAATTTTTTTTGTTTTTTTTTTTCTTTTTTTTTTTTTTTGAGAGAGTGTCTCACAATGTAGCCCAGGCTGGACTTGAACTCAGGGTGATCCTCCTGCCTCAGCCTCCTGAATGCTGGGATGACAGCATTCAGATATCCCCCTGACATTTCTTTCTGTTTCTTTTTTCTTTCCCCCAACATTTATTTATTTACTTATTTATTCTATTTTAGGGAAGGGTCTACAGGGTGTTCAGGGTAACACTACTAGATTGGACTCACAGTGATCCCCATTTACAGCCTCCCAAGAGCTGGGATTATAGGCGCAGGCCACTACGCCTAGTCTCCCCAACATTCTTAAAGCCCTGCCAGGCACAGTGTTCTAGAACAGGTGACACAATTCTGTTTAGACAGAGCTGAGACTGAGGCACTGGTGCTGTTTTCCCTGTCCAGGGCAGCCTACGGGTGGCCTGGAAAAGCCAGCTGCTGACGACACGTCCATCCCATCCTCCCCCTGGCCCGAGCAGGGGATGGGAGAGGAGAAAAGACAAGGGACATCTGAGCGGGTGACCCACCTGCGCTGCACAGGTCCACTAGGGCCACGCGTGTGGGCCGGGAGCTTCCTTTGGAGTTGACCGCGGACACAGCTGCAGCCCACGTCCCGGTGCTGGGGATGACCCAGGTCCAGGAGGTGCCTCCTGTGGTGTTGTGCAGCGCGGCCGTGCCTGTCGGCGTCGTCTCCTGCAGAGTCACCTGGTAGTGCAGGATCTTCCCTCTTGCATCCACTACGTCCAGGCTCTGCAAGGACACAGGGCTTGAGCCTGGCCCTCCCACGCAGCAGCAGCAGTGACCTCAAGGCTCACGTCGTTTCTATCACCACACTCCTGCTGTGCGCTTTGGCACTCCCCGCCCACCATTTGGAAATAAACCAGTAAACGCTTTTAAAAGATAATCTTTTTGAGACAGGATCTCTCGCTGTGTAGCCCAGGCTGACCTGGAACTTGAGGTGATCCTCCTGCCTCAGCCTCCTGAGCACTGGGGTCACAAGCATGCACCCCACACCTGGCTAAAAGGGCTGGGATTACAGGGGCGCGCCCCCACGCCCAGTCTCACACGCGAGTGTTCTGAGCATGCGCAGCCAATGTGCCCTGCACAGGCGCACAAGAGCAGCGGCGTTCATTCTGCTCTCTCGCTCCAAAATGCCGCTTGCTGACGGTCACACAGCGCCGGCACTGCCTGTCACAGGGAGCCAGGGCTTGGCCTCGGCGCGCTGGGTCTCGGTTTCAGTCCGTGGACCGCACAGTGTCGCCCACAGCAGCACACACGACCTTCAGAGCTATGCTAGCGACTTCTGCACTTTGCAAGTTGAATTGGACACCTGTGCCAGGAGCCCGGGCTCAGAGGCGTGTGGCTCTCAGGTTGTAATCCCAGGAAGGAGAAAGGAATATTTTGTTGTCATCTTGCTGGGCAAGGTGGTGTACTCCTGTCACGCCAGCACTCGGGAGGCTGAGGCAGGAGGATCCCTGGAAGTTGGAGACCAGCCAGGGCTACACAGTGAGCTCAAGGCCAACCTCGACTACACAGCGAGAACCTGTCTCAAAACTAAACCAAACCCAAAACACATAAAAGCCCTTTGGATCACCCCTTTCTTCCATCCGTACTTACCGCAAAGTCTAATGACTTGGTTTGAACTTCTGGCTCATTAAACAAACATTCCTATTTTTATATTCAGGGACTAAGTTGGTCTCCTGGTAGTGAATAGCGCCAGAGAGCGGTCCACTGCGCTCATCCGGCCCAGCCGCTGCAGTCTGGCTGGGAATTAGCCGCTTGCACCAGCATTCAATTTTCTCTTGAGCCTGTGGATGCCGAACAGTCCGGGGTACTGGATCCCAGCCCCTGGTCACAGCCAGGCCCGGGCGCGCCCTCTGGCGGCCGCGGGGGGAAGCGAGCCGTCTGGAGGCTAGGCCTCCCCCAAAACCTGAGACTCCAGGGTGCGGGGCCAGCGCCACGCTCCCAGTCCTGCGCCGTCCCTGGAGCCCCTCATCCACTAGCCTGGCCTGCCTGGAGGGAGGCAGGCCGCAGGGAATCGGAGACATTTGCCCCTGCCTTGCTTTCTTCTGATTTGGTTTTGGAACGCTGCTGTACTCAGCTCATTTTGCTCTTTTTAAATATTTAAATAATTTTCTTCTTGGCATGGTGGCGCACGCAGATCATCCCAGTACTCAGGAGGCAGAGGCAGGAGGATCCCCATGCCTTCGAGGCCAGCTTGGGCTACAAAGTGAGACCCTGTCTCAAAAAGAAGCAAATAATTCTTTTTTCTTTTTTTTTTTTTTTGCAGAACTGGGGATTGAACTCGGGCCTCTGAGCTTGCCAGGGAAACGCTTATTCTACTGAGCCATCTCCCCGGCCCCTAAGAAGCAAACAATTCTTTTCATTTTTTAGCCTTGCCAGGGACGGAGTCCAGCACCTCTGGGCCCGGCTCTTACAATCGCTGTGTGAGTGCACAGCCTCCAGCTCTACTTGTAAACTCAGGATAATCCCACATCTGTCTTGGCTTCTTAGCATCCCTGGGCAGAGGGAGCAGGCGCTGCAGAGGCTACGCCATAGGCCTGGTGACAATTTCAGCAACCCCAGCGCAAAGGGAAGAAGGGCCTTGAAGTGGCTTTCGTTTTCTTACAGGGAATCACTGTCTCTCTTTCTTTCTTTCTTTCTTTCTTTCTTTCTTTCTTTCTTTCTTTCTTTCTTTCTTTCTTTTTAATGAGGTAAAAAGTATGTGTCTAGAATCAGGCAGCTGGACTGAGTTTAGATGATCCCAGTTGGCAACATCCAGTGCATCATAAAGGGGAGCCAGCTGGACGCCGACCTTCTCTCCAGTACCTGATGAGGGCGTTGACCTTGGCAGTGTCACAGAGCTTCTTCACAGCTGGCGTGGCCTGGTGCTTACTGGCCACGAGTGTGTTGCTGCCCTCAGTCTTTCTCGTGGCTGACTCTGCGGTCACAGAACTTGATGATGGCATAGTGGTCTCTCCTGAGGGAGAGCTTGTTTCTCCTGGGGGCGCTCTTCCGAGGGTATTCGGGCTGCCTCTGGAGCCCCAGTGTCTTGGGGTGGCGGAAGGTGGGCGGAAGGTGGGTGACAGTGATGTTGGAACCTTCTTTTTGTGGCTGTGGATGCCTTTCAGCATGGCCTTCTCGGCTTTCTTTTTTTTTAATTTTTATTTATTTGTGTGTGTGTGTGTGTGTGTGTGTGTGTGTGTGTGTGTGTGGCCAGCTCAGCCCACCAGGGGGTGCTGGGGGATTGAACCGCGGTCCCTGGCTTTCAAAGCTTTAGCTTTGGCTTCTCCTTTGGGGGGCGGGGGTTTCTTTCTTCACCTTCGGCACCATCTTGGTAAAAAGGCCTCACCTTGTTTTCTAAGCTGGCTAGGAGCACTGGGGAGGCTGAGTCAGGAGGGTCACTGTGGCTCCAGGCCAGCGTAACTGCAGACAGAGACCGTGTCCCTCTAAGCTAAAGACGCTAAAATAGGCTCTTGAGGCCAAGGCATCCCGAGGTGGCCGGGGCTGCGGTGGCTGTGCCTCCCCCTCGTCCCTGGTGCAGCCGGTGGCTTTGGGCGTGTTGCACTTTCGGCTTCGGCACAGAACACACTTTCTCCACTCACACCAGCAAAGGTGCTGAAGAGAAGGTGGGGGTGCTTGCTGGAGAGATGGCGTCAGCTCCCGGAGGCCCAGCCTCGGGGCTGGGGCACGCCCACCCGGCGGCTCACACACACCCTGCCACACGCCCACATCCTGACCCTCGGACCTCCACGTGCACGTGTGCACCCAGCCGCAGCCCTCTGGCGCCAGCGCCTGCCACGGGAGGAACAGGCCTCTCTTCTCTCCCTCAAGGGTTTGCCTGGGGCTTTCCTGGGGTATCCCAGGGCTCCTCTGTGGGGCACTGCAGAAGTCACGGGTGAAGCCCCACACACCAGGCAAGGGGCTTTCTTAGCCTTGGGGCTTTCTCTCAGCCTTTCCCAGTTTAGCGTGAGTCAGGGCTACCTCAGCTGGCCTCCCACTGGAGATCCTCCTGTCTCAGCCTCCAAGTACTGGGACTGCTGGCATGTGCCACTTCACCTGGCTTGTGTCT